AAAACCAAATTTTCTTAAGGTTAGATGTTGATATGTAGTACATTTTTCAGGTAAAAACAATAATAATGTTCGTCTATGGAAACATTTTCTTGTATTCTGCCATTGCACCAGAGCACTCGGCATACAATATTATAAAATTTCTATTCTTTTTAAACATAAATATAATTATATTTATATTTATATTTAAATATAAATTATAAATTATTATGAATATAAATCTTAACGATTGATTAACTCGATGTTATTCTGTGGTAAACCCTTGAATGAATTAGTTCATAATTATGCAAAGTTATTTAGAAGTAGAAAATGAAAAACATGAATCAACGTTTGTCATCTCTCTTTACGATGTTTATGAAATCAAATAAAAATAAAATGTTTCGCTTTTCCTATTGATTGGGTTAATTATGATGTAATACATTCGAGTATATTAATCACAGAATAACATCGAGTTAACCAATCGCTAAGAACACTGACAAGAATATTTTTACTTTTAGATTCTATTTTTGGTTTTTCTTTTTTGCTGAACGCTAAAATATACACATTATTTGGGTTAATAGACATACATTGACAATGGTTGTACACGAAATAAGCACACAAGCTGAAATGAATGATTATTTATCCTCAAATCCATTAGTACTTGTTCATTTTACATCAAAATATTCAGATGAAAGTGTGCGCTGTGAACCAGTTTTATCGGCATGGAGTAAGAAAGTTCAATATAAAGAAATTAAATTTGTCAAATGTGATTGTAGTAAAAAAACAGACAGGTTTGAAAAATATTTAATTAAAACAATACCGACGTTTTTGTTTTTTACAAATGGCCAAAAAACAGCTGTTGTACTTGATGTTCAATTAAATTTATTACAACAAACAATCGATGAACAACTAAATTGTAAGTTGTTAGTATGGTTATTTAGTTTGGATGAATTAATCTAAAATTGACTGTAATACTTTTATTTTACAAAAATTGAGCGAATCTTGCAAGATAGTGCATGATTAGTGAATATGTATGGGAGCCCAACTGATTGGGCCAAGGAGCTGTGACTAATCTTCTGGCTATAGCTGCAAGTGATGAAGAGCAATGAGACGCGTGATCGTTTCAAAAGCCTGTCAATCACAGGAAAAATATTAAGCTATTGAAACTGTCATCTGGTAGCACCCACATCGGCAAAATAGTTTTACGAGAAGGCAGCGTCTCTATTGAGAATACACCCGCGTATATAAAGCCGGCTACTTTTCAAATTTCTCTCTACTTTGGGTTTCTTCACTAAAGAGCAAAGTGCGCCAAGTACACTCCGAAATTCACACCTACACTATGGTTTACAGGGCAAATATCTGACACTAGAACCTGGGATTAAGTCTCTGTTTTATTATAAAACAGATCTTAAATGTATCCTTATCTTTAAATATTATACTGTATCGATTGAGCTTAGAACCAACTCATTGCACCACTAGGAAGTGTTTCAAGAGCA